GGGGCCTGCGGCGTGGCAGCCCGCGGCCCGAGGGCTGACGTTCCCTGAGGGTCTGCGTCGCCGTTCGGCGCCTGTCACTCGGCGGTGTGGAGTCGGGGTCTGAGCGCCGCCCCCCGCTGGTTGCAGGGGGTCCCCGAAGTAGCGTCGGGAGCCCGCGGAGGGGGGGGCGGGCAGCACCTCTTCAAGGTGGGAGGTTGACGGGGGTTGCGAGAGCGGGCGGGAAGCTGTGGAGTCGGTCTCAGCGCGCGCGCCTGCGAGCCGTCGGGTCTGAGGTGCAGTCCGGGCGGGCGTCGGGGCCCAAGGAAGGTGTGTTCGCGGGCGAACGCCCGGCGTGAGTTGCAGGAAGCGCGGAAACCCTGGAAAGCGACGTTTCAACCGGACGCGCCGGCTCCGGCGAGCGCCTCTGGCTCCCGGTAAGTTCCGAGCTGAGCGCGTTTCACTGAGGAGAGCCCCCGCCCGCCCGTGTTCTCGTCTGTGGCGACTGTAATTGTCAGCAGGTGAAAGAGTCCGGAAAGTTGTGTCTTGTTGCCTGTTGCTGTTGCTGTTTTGATGTTGGAGGAAGGGCGGCGGGGTGGGATGGATTTGAGGGTCTTCTGTGCGCTGCTTTTTGTGAAGGGACTTGCAGGAGTATTTTAATCCCAGACTGTAAACGCCCTGAGAATTGGGGCTGGGCTTGAGTTATTCACTGTTACCTGCGTAGGTCTTGGATTTTCACAGGTTCGCAGAAGTGTTTACGGAATGAATGAACAGTGTTTTGTTTAGAATTGAACCTGTGTTTATAGTATTAGACGTCTTACACGTCTGCGTGCGTGTATGTGACTTTGTTTTCTGGAAATCTAATCTGGCCCTTTTTTGCCCTACTTAGGTCATGGGTACTGCGGTATACAGGAAAGGAGCTGTATAGCAGTAACGTGATATGGGATAGCTTCAGAAAAATATCTTTGGAAATAATAAAGGAGATAAGTCATACCCCAGTTGCTGACCTCTTCAGAACTTCAGAAGAAAAGTGAATTACATTCACTAGATGTTCATTTCCCAGTGACAGAGAAGAGGTAATAGACACCAGAGAAGACAGTAGGGAAGGGGAGGAAAAATAAATTAGAAAGCACAAGGGTAAAAAATGCAACCAGTTGTGGACATTCACTCTAAATAGTGTTTTCTGTTTAGTTACTGAGGGAAAGAAATTGGGGCAATAAGGTGCTTATAGGGACAAAACAGGGAATAAGAAACTGAAGGTCTATACATTCAAAGTACAAGTGGAAGGAGAATAATGAAAAAGAAAGAAAAAGGAAGACTGACTTGTACCCTGAAGAAGCTTCAGGCCGGAAGTAGTGAAAGATACAGGGTGAAGACTGTAGTCAGAGAAACCCAAGTGTCAGGTTTCAGTGGCCGAAGATGAGATTTCTTGGGACTTAGCCTTTAAATAAACTTAATATAGGGAGTTGGAGAAGATCATCAAAGCAGAAAATCGCCAAAGATGATTTGTGGGGAGAGGAAGAAGATGAACCTGGCACGAATGCTCCAGCCACTCACACCAGGGAGGAGGCAGGTGTGGATTCCAGGAGTAGATGGTGGTCAGTGGTGGTTACAGAATATTCTTCCGCAGGGGGCATGCAGAGTAAGGTCTCTGTAGAGCTCGCTGCTCTCTCAGTAGAGCAAGTCAGAGGAACACAGCCTGGGAGAAGGTCTTGGGAGAGGTGATGTCACTGGGGGGGCCACAGGACAGGTAAAGGGACAAAAGCCCTGTGTGAGAAGAAGATGGAAAGTTGAGAGACACATGGCTCCCGCACAGGGGCTTGGAGAGGGAAAGCGAGGCGAGGTCGTCTGTAACAAAGCTGTTGTGATGTTTACTCCAGGCGAGTGGAGTTCTGGGTAGGCGGGAGTGGTGGGCCCCAAACTTTCCTCGCCGTTTATTCCACGGTGGAAAGAAGGGAGCGCACTCCGCAGGCCAGCAGCTACATGCATGCTCCACTCTCTACGTTAAAACAGACAAACAGGCAAGTCCTTCCTCCCCACTTTTCACTGTGGGATCCTTGGGCTGGAGGGACTTGGTGGCGTAGGGCAGGGCTACTAAAGACGGCTCAGTTGTGCAGTTACAGGTTCTTAGGAAATGAACTGACTGCAGGGTTCCAGTGGCAGGCTGATGGGATGACCGCCTCGTAAAGGAGGTGCCGGCTCTCCTCAGCTAGTCCGTGGCAAGATAACCCTTGTACTGGTGGTTATGGAAGTGCCAAACAGTGCATCCTCCCGTTTTCAGCGTGGAGTTTTCACGTGACCGTTGTTTGTTTTCTTCTAGTACTTTACAAGTATTCTTTTAATTATCCACCCTTCGGCCAATATCTCATAAAGCATGTTGTGCTAGATGAGTAATCGACACTCTTTAGGTGGAAAAGGTGAATCAATGCAAAGATGAGGCCATGTTCCCTTGTCCAGTCTGTAGCGTGTTCACTTTGCCCATAAACATTTGAATGGGCAGCTGTTTTTTCTCCTCAGAATATGTGAGAATTAAAAACTTCCTTTTTGTACTTATCATTCTGTACAACCAGTGTTAGTGATAATGCAATCTTACGTGATAGGGTTGCTTGTCAACTTTTGTTAAATTCTTACTAAACTGTTTGGAGATGGGCAATGTTCGTTGGCCTTTGGATACTTCCTCCGGTGATTTAGGTGTTCCAGTAGAGCACAGAATTTGACGATTTTAAGACTATGAGATAAATACCTAATACCTTCTTGAAAGCTTTTGAAAAAGCCTAGTTTGGTTTGTATGTGTATGTGTGAATGTATGTGTTTCCTGTCAATCTGGAGAGGAATTAGGAGAGTAGATGGGGAAGGAATAAACAAAATCCTTTTTCAGGCTCAGCTTTCACATGCCTAGATTCAACCTACAGCAAGTTTTAATGGTTTTATAAACCCCTGAAAATGAAAGATTACTGTAGAATTGCTGACAGATCCCTAACTCAGGCTGTGCAAGTGTGTTGCATTGTTATGCTATTAACCTGGAGGACAGAAGCCATAGCAAACCCTAGAATACTGATCAAAGGATTGAGCACAAAGTATACATTTTGGGGGCAGCCCTCCCTGGTGGCACAACCTGTTAAAGCACAGCACTTTGAAGCTAGCCATAGCCACTTCCACACGAGTTCAATCTCTGGCAAGGGAGGTGACCTACCTGGCACAGCAGACCTCTCCTATCTCCCAGCTGCTCCTCTCAGTAGTGGATTTCATTGATGTCCCTGTTCTGCTCTCCACTCTGTCCCTGGTGAAGCTTCTCACCGCCCCTGCACCTCTAGTTTCTACCCCAGTTCTATATGCATATAAAAATAAATCTTGAAAAAAAAAAAAGCCAAAGTATACATTTTATTTCAGTAATTCCCTGCCTGGAGAAGTATTTGGAAAAGTGACAACTAGAAGTGGAACTGCTGCATAGCATTGATATTAGCTGATAACAACACTTTCCAATGTTGGGGAATGTCATCAGCCTTTGATGTATTATATCTTTATTATTTTTAAGCTCCTTATGACACAGAACATTATCATGGGCTCCATGGGAGGTGATGTGTGTATGTGCGTGTGTGTGTGGTGTAGAGGTATATCTTCCTATACACACACACATAACATATATGTATATAAATTTTTTAAGTACCTATGATGCTATTCCTCAGATGGCACCCCTATGTTACTAGACATTACTAAGTCAATAGACCTTAGTAGGTTATTAGGTTAATAGTCCTTACTAGGTTAATGCACAAGGTACCATCATCTCAGTCTGAGCCAGCACGATTATCATTAGTTTGTTCAAGGCATTCAGGATTGGGACTGAGGACCCTGGAGCCAACTAGAAACAGTTGAAGGAAAACTGCAGCAGTGTCCTGGGAGCTGCCCTCCTGGGACACCCTCATGCCCTCCTGGGACAGCTCCCCCTGAACGCTCTAATCTTTGCTATTGTTAAGGAAATAAGGCTTAAGAGAAAAATTGTCAGGTAGTAAATCTTACCTAAACAAGGCACGTAAGCGTCTGCTCTGTGTATCAGTGTGCATATAGATGTCCTATTATTGAGGTACATTGGTTCGTAAGACTGTCTGTGGTGTAGAGGTATATCTTCCTATCTAGACCATCCTCTCCCACCAGAGTCCATTGACCCTCTTCCTTAATTTGCTCTCTGCCTGTCCTTCCCCACTATGGTATTCTCAATCTTATAGTCAGATTTCTAGTGTTTTTGGTTCTGTTTTGTCTGACCCTTCGTTTTGCTTATTTATATCCCACATATGAGTGGAATTTCTTTTTCTGTCTGGCTTATTTTGCTTAGCATAATCCCCTGTAGTCCCATCGATGTTATCGCATATGGCAAGATTTCATCTCTTTCATAGCTGTGTATGTAGCTCACATCGTAATCTGCTCCTCTTCTGTGGTTGGGCATTTAGGTTGTTCTTGGCTGTTGTAAGTAGTGCTGCAGTGAACATGGGAGACCAGAGATCCCTTTGAATTGGCATTTTTGTCCTCTTTGGGTAGACACCAAGGAGTGGAGTTGCTGGTCATATGATAGATCTGTACTTAATATTTTGAGAGACCTGCACAGGGACGTAAGCCCGCTTTCAGTCCCAGCAGTGTCAAAGGGTCCTTTTCCTCCCACCCTCACTAGTACTTGTTGTGTCTACACTTTTTGATAAGGTCATTCTCAGAGGTGGAGGTGGTGTTGTCTTGTGGTTTGGATTTGCATTTCCCTGATGATAGCGATGCACAGCAACTTTTGTATTTTAAAACAGACTTAGGAAGGGACTCTGGCAATTAGCACTTTCTCTGGATTTGAAGCAGGGGTACTTATACACAGAGACCTGATAATATGCTGGCTTCAGCGCGGGTAATGCCAGCCTGGGATGAGAAGAAATTTAATCTGTAATTGCCTTTCCTTTCAGGCATTTTGAATTTTGTGTCCTGTGTACAACATTGTTTACTATAAACAAAAGAACAACATATGTACACTTTGACATGGATAATTGTTCCTATCTCTTAAATAACTTGATCCTCTTTTAAATTTTCTTCTTCATCAGGTGTTGGCAATGGCTGCTGCTGTGAACTTGGAACTTGACCCCATTTTTTTGAAAGCACTAAGCTTCTTACACTCAAAGAGTAAAGATTCTGCTGAAAAACTAAAGGCACTGCTTGATGAATCTTTGGCTAGGGGGATTGATTCAAGTTATCGTCCATCTCAAAAGGTATCTAAGTGAGTGGGAGCCGTGGAAGGAGTTTTGGGAGGCCACCAATAGTTTGAGACTGTCACGAAACAGTAACTCTGCCAAAATTACCTTTCTTGGTGGCCTGCAGGGATTACTTCATTTTCTTCCTTCAAGCTTTCAGAGAATTATTACACTGGATGCAAAAGCTAGCTGGGAGTGGCTAATCATCTACATTTTGTGTGTCAGAAGCCCACCTACTTATGCACTTCATTTTCTGGTTATGACCAGAATTTTTTTTTTAAGGTGCTGGGTGAAACCATAAAGAAAAATTATTCTCTGATGTCTTAGGGTTAAAAAATTCAGGATGGGGGTTTTGCAGTTAACCAAATTGACTATGAGTAGAATAATTTTACTTTAAATGGGTACAGTTTACGTGTCAGTTATTTCTCAGTAAAGCTGCATAAAGAAAGTTCATGGTCATAATACAATGTCTTAATGTGACTGAAAATTGTTTAGGTTTCTGTTCAATTTTGGGTTTTTTTTTTTTTTTTTGTGATATACTAGATAGTGTGAATGTTTAATCACCTGTGTCTACTTATTTCACCTTTTAGGATGTGGAGCCACCCAAAATTTCCAGCACAAAAGCTGTTTCCATTAAGCAAGAGCCCAAAACCTTGTCCTCTCTGCCATCTGGCAGTAATAATGGCAAGGTCCTCACAGCTGAAAAGGTGAAGAAGGAAGCTGAAAAGAGACCTGCTGAGAAAGTAAGATGTTATTTTATTCTAGTAAAAAAAAAAAAATGGTAAATCAGTTCATAAACAGAAGTAATATTTTATGCCTACTTCTGTGTAATAGTGTGTAGAAGCATATAATCACTCAGCAAATATATTTTGGTAGGTACAGATGATGACTTTTGAAAAATGAGTTAAATTGAGACTTTAAATGGTTTACTGAAGTCATTGTCAATGGATATTTGAACCCTAAAGAACATACTAATTTTGAATATAAACTTTAATTCGTAACTCATATATTCTAGAGGGAATGGGTGTTGCAAAGGAAAGAGTGAAGCTATGAATGACTGAACATTTGTTACGTGACGGTGTGCAGGGCTACACGCATTTTTGGAGCATCTGCTCTGAGTGGTTTCGGCAGTTACAGTGATTTTAGCACTTACTAAAAAAAATATTTAAAAAAATCTTCTGGCAGCCCCTGCCCTCCAGATGGGATATATAACTCCTGTATGTTTTTCTGCTTTATCTAAATATTAGATATTTCATCAGCCCTGGTTTTCATTATTTTCTCTGCTTTTAAATTAAGATAAATGGAACTGTACGTTACAGGTATGTCTTTGCAGGGCCTTTAATCTCCACTTGATAATGTGCTTTTGAGATTTGCCAGTATTGAAACAGATAGGCCTGAATATTTCTTCCAGCTACCGTGAAGCGTTCATTCTCCAAATGAGCCACTTTACCCACCCACTGTGGACAAGCAGGCTTGTTTTGCCGTTTTCCCAACTGTAGTGCAGCATCCATGAGCTGCTTTTTGCGTCTCTGTGCACATGGTCATGCTTTCTACAGGACGCACACCTGTCTGTGAGCGCAGCAGGACAGTGCGTGTTCACTGTTGTAGACCCGGGCCTTTCTGCACAGTGACGGGAAGTGCTCCCCTGGGTGAAGTGCTGCGATTCCAGTCATCTGTGCCAGTCTGACAGTACGTCTTTAGAGAGGAGCTCGGATTTGTTTCAAAGCAAATGTGGCAGTGTGCTAAGTCTGGATGATTAGTTTGTCATCCAGTCTTACTTCTTTTTAGTATTCTCTAAATATCAATCGTGCACACTTCAAAATATTCAAGTTTTGAAGCAGTAGCTTCTCACTCGATATCGAGCTCTGACAGGAAAAATAGGACAGTAGAAGTCAACCCATTGACCTGTTAGAGTCATGTGTAAGGGTGCAGAGAAATGGGTACATGTTAAACTGTTCTGATTCTTTCTTTCTGCTTGTCGGTTTCTTCTGACATGCTGCCTATGGATTCATTCTAAATCGTTTACACATCTTCACTGGTGTGTTTTTTCCTCACTGTGTAAAACTGTCATCAGGCAGACTTGGTTATTGCTTTGTCTAACTCACCCATCTCTCAGGGAGTTAACGTTTATTCTGATGTTACTTTCATCACCATTTTCTGACGGGGTGCTTTTTATAGATGAAATCTGAAATCACTGAAGCAGCTGATGTCCCAAAGAAACCAAGATTAGAGAAACCAGAGACACGGTCCTCTCCCATTACTGTCCAAACCAGCAAGGACTTAGCAATGACTGACCTTTCCAGCTTTGAGGAGACCAGTGCTGATGACTTTGCCATGGAGATGGGGTTGGCCTGTGTTGTTTGTAGGTAAGTTGTAACATACCACAGATTCTTTTGTTTCTTTGTAAAAAAACAACCAACCAAAAGAAAAAGAAAGCTTTCTGATCAACTACTACATTTATTTATTTAACTTGGGGGTAGATAGGACACTAGTAGACTATTCTTATAAAATGCCTACACACCAATTTAATGTCTTGAACACTGAAATATTTTATCTTCCTGATGTGGCATCCTGTATCTATTAATTTGCTGTAACATCTTCCTGTATTCTTGGTTGCCAGAGGGAATATGATTACTGCTTTACTCTCTACTGAGGAAGGGGCTATTCAGCCAACTCACTTATGTCCAGTCTGTGTTGCTTTTTACCCTCTTAATTGACTGCATGTATAAAATAAACTATCTTATGTCATTTTCTAAGACATCATATTTTTTCATCCTCTTCTAAGAATAATGGAAATGAATTGAATGGACCACACCTGAGTGTTCTTTTGATAAATGAATATATAACTATAAATACAGGTAATTCTGCTCAGTATTAGATGCATTTTAAAAATCATAATACTTAATTTTAAACTCGAGACCAGGAGCTACATTTTTAATTGTTAATGGCTATCACTGTCAAGCACAGCAGAAAAGACTGCCAACTTTTTTTACTGTTTACTTCATGAAAATGTTAAATTCTGATGCACTGGGACTGAGTAAATAACTATAACCTTTTGTGAACTCTATAGAGAGTTAATGTACTGCCGAGTTGGATCATTTATTAAAGCTTCTTGTCTTCAAGGAATGAGGTTGTTTACTTCACCTTAATCCACCATGAAGGTTATCATTTTTAAATAAGGAGATAAATGGTAAGGTAATAAGGGTCAGAGAACTAGTAACTGTAAGCCTCTATCAGGAGAGATTGGCTGAGGCTCTAGTAATTGTAATTTGTGCTGTTCTGGGGCTTTGGTGATTGTTGTGTGAACTACTGGAATTAATTCTTCTTTGGTACAGATATTGCTACATTCTGTCCCCTGATCAGAAAGTCACTGAGCACCCACGTCTGCACAGCCCTATAGATGATTAGGCGGCTGGGCTCTGTAGATGATGAGGCTCAGTTCCCAGACAGTGGCAACTCTTATATTAATTCATGAATATGACAGAACAGCATCTAGATGACTAATATAGGAAATTAATAGAGCTATGAGGAATGTGTCACAGACTGTTGGACTAGCCAGTCCATTTCTAGGAAGAAAAAATTACAATGAGAACTGACAAGGAGAATACAGCTAACTTTACTAGTAAGGCACCTTATGTATTTATGAATGGTTGAGTGTGAGCTTTGAAAGAAATGAGGTGTTTATGCAGGTTACCTGTTGCTCTCAGGTTTGCTGGGGATTTTACCCTCTGTAGTGTATAATCACACTTAGCCAGAACCACCCTGAATTGATCTTACAGGAGCGCATTGAAAAAAGTGCAGGTTTTGTGACATTTTTTCTTAGGCAGATGACGGTGGCATCTGGTAACCAATTGGTGGAGTGTCAGGAGTGCCATAACCTCTACCACCAGGACTGCCACAAGCCCCAAGTGACGGACAAGGAGGTGAATGACCCACGCCTCGTGTGGTATTGTGCCCGCTGCACCAGACAGATGAAGAGGATGGTAGGAATCTCATTTTTCTCTATTTTAAAGTCTCTTTTTTATTGATGTGTGCTTTTCAAAATAGAAAATTTAAGATAACTAGAATCTATGAATTATTGAAGCTGGTCATTTAAATGTTTGGGTGTGTCATGTACATCCATAATGGAAGTGTCTAGGCGTAAAGACCAGCTATGAATATTCCCTGCCGTTAAATCGGTGTTAAAACTTGAGTGAGCATTGCAGGACATGGGAGACACAAAGCCAGCCTTTGTGGGCTGGATAAAGGAGTGAGAAAACGCCTGTTCCTCAGTGGACTTAAGCCAGCAAACTTCAAGTCCTGCACGCAGTACTTTTTAACCCCCCCTCAGTCACTCAGAACTGCACATCTGCTCCCCAAGAAGAGAACTCTTAAGTCTTCAGTCAGCCATGCTTCCTTCAGAGTGAAGCTAAACGAGTAAGCTATGAATTTCCTTTTTCAAAAAGTAAACAGTTTGCTGGTCTTAGGAATATGGTAGCTAGCTAAGCGTATTTTGCATGACTTCTAAGGCTTTATATTACCTTTATTAGAAAGTAATAAAAATCTATAAAGGCATTAATATGATGATGATAAAAATGACTTATCCACATTAAAAAGTACGTCCTTCAGTGTCTCTGTAATTACTGGCCAAAAGGTCAGCTATGTACCAGGTCGTTCAGGGGTCCTGCACTAGCCTTTTACTGTCTCTTGTGCATCCTGCTATGACTTTGTTCTGATTTAATCCACTGATATTTCACAGGCCCAAAAAACTCAGAAACCACCACAGAAGCCAGCCCCCGCAGTCGTTTCCGTAGCTCCAGCTGTCAAAGATCCGCTGGTTAAGAAACCAGAAACTAAAGTCAAACAAGAGACAACTTTCCAAGCATTTAAGAGAACAGAAGTCAAGGTAAATAGTACATTCCATCTTCTATCTAAGATTGGATTTTAATATGGTTGACTAAACAATACTACTTGATTAAAATAGGAACGTAATGAGAAACGTTACATACTTAAATGGCTCTGTGTTGGAAATTGAGACTGCATTACTGTTAACGTCAGGTAGCAAGGGGCATTTACATGATCACTTAATTTCTAACTGCTCATTTCCTTTGTCACAGCGGGCCCTGTCTGTGCGCATCGAGATGACATTCTGTACCACCCCTGCGCTGCATACTCAGTCCAGTCAGGGCTTGTTCACTCTGCTGCCTCTCACCTGCAGTAGCCACAGTTGTGCTCCTCATGCTCCTTGTGCTGGTTGGCGCTGTAGCTGTTTCTCCTCCCTACTTTCTGGCTACGAAAACTTTACATTGCCTTATTTTTTCCTTCTTGTCAGGAACTCTCAGTGATATACCTACCAAAGGATGAGATTATGTGGTGATACCATCACCCTTATCATTCTTAAGTGTGCATCCTTAAAATCACAGTACATTGTTACTAATATCCTGGTATTTTGATATGGAATAAAATATTTTTCAGATCTAATTTTTTAACACAAAGTGCTTTTACTGCTTTACACATTCCAATTTTAAGGAGAATACCAAATATGAGGGAACAGTTTGTTTACCCCAAATTCTCGAAAGTTGACCCCAGAAAATTTGGAAGATGCTATCTTGTCCAGCTGACCATAAGAAGCAAATATCAGGAGTCTTGGTGTGTTGATAACCAAAAGTGAATATAAACTAAAACTGAGGAAGATACTAGTTTTTTTAATTTGGAAATCTCTTTTAAATGTATTTGCCAGAAGAGTTGAGATCTAAGAGATAGGTATTATTTGTCGTATGAAAACTTGGTGAATTGTACTACAAGTAAGAATAATTTATTCAAAGTCACAAGCTTTGAAAAAAAAAATAGGAGAATTGCTGTATTCTCTATCCTTAAATCATTAATAGATAGACCTTTATGCTAATTTGCTGCTACTCATGTTTAAAGAAATCTGACATGAAGTCACTATGGCAGATAAGGACTTGGCTTTCATTGGTCTAAGAGATTTCGGTATCTTTAGAATGAAAGTGAACAAACATACACTATGGAAACATTCTGTTCCATTTTTATATGTGAAAAACAAATGGTTTCCTATCTAGGATACTACACAAGAAAATACTTGTAACTTTAAAAAGTTGAAAGATGCATTTTCTGCCCTGAATAAGAAAGAAACAACGGGGCCGCCACCGCCCTGCCGTCGCCCTCCCTGTGACCTGCTGTATCACAGCCCTCTGTCTTTGTCAGAGAGCTGCACCAGGAGCAGGAGTTGGGTCTAAATGCCGCGCCACAGAACTTACTTTCTTGTCTTTGCTTCCTCAGTATAGGTCTTTTTAATTACTTCAGATGGGTTTCCGTTTGTGGAAAGATCATTTAGCCATATGGCAAACAGGCTTAAGTCTGATAAAAAGGAGAGGGGAAAATTAGATCTTTCGGAGCTGCAAATTGAGAGCCTTCTACACCTGTGTCCTTTGGCTTTTCCCTTGACTGTTTCTCTCGTTTCCCGGGTGCATTCCTTTAGGAACTAATGGTTTTGCTACAGTTTGTCCTCCCTGAGTACCTAATGAAAATTGTTGGTATGAAGTAACTGTAAAAAAGTCTACCACTTTGTAGAGTATCTGAACAAAATTCTGGTTGACTCCTCTTATAAGACAAAGATACAGGACATGAATTTCAGTTACTTTCCATGTTGGTCAACAATGTCTACAGGGCAGATAAACCAAGTGGTACTTAGTAAGAACTGAGTATACGCGGGCATATTTTAGGCATGATAACTACTACAGTTTTACGTATGACTCTGTTTGTAAGACTCTGCTGGTGTGGAGAGCAACCACAGGGAGAGAGTGCCACTGAGAAGTTCACGTTATAAGTTGCTGGAACCAAGTGCATTTTTGCCAAATGTGCAGTTGAAAAAAATGTGTTCTTGTGAGACTAAGGGAATATTTATTTATATAGTGACATTGGCAGCTCTTGACAGGCCCAGAGGGTAACTGAAGAAATTGAGTGTGTTACATCTGGGGGTGAGCCAGACATCCGTGCATTTTCTAAGGCAGAATTACAGGCATCGTACAGAGGGAGGATCCCCTAGGAGATCCTCTCAATGACAGCATGGGGAAACCAAGAATGAAGCCAGGAGTCCTGTTCTTGTGAATTTATCACCAGAGCTGTACAGTGCCACATGGTTAAGATTGCACATCGTATATATCTTTCGGTCCAGTAGCTATTTGCTTAAAACTTGGGGATTTTTTGGGGGGGGTTGGGGTAGTTCAGATTCTTACATTCACTCAGTGAGTAATTACAAATGAAAGAAATTGAATGTAATCTTAATATCTAGAATGCAAGTGTTTTGCCCATTAAGAGTGGGGAGTGCTTTTGAAATGATCCACAGTCATGTAGACCCAAGTCTAAAGAATTGGTTGTTTTATCTCACTAAAAATACCTTCTTGATGAAAAGACAAGGTGAGGCATTTAATCTGATTTTATGAGATGGCTTGCAGTGGAACCTAAGAGTTACACTCAAAGAGGAATACCAAATACTTGTTCTCAATGGCTAGAACTAGATAGAATATTAAATTCCACAATTTCTGCTTTGGACTTGATGGTGCTCATTAGACTTGGGTAAGTTTTGTTGTGTTTTTGCAGCTCAGCTTCTTAAGAACTTGAGTGTGGTGGTACTTAAATTTCCCAACTGATTACTTTTATATACACAAGTTCAACAATTAAACTTTCTGTATATTCGAGGTTATTATAGTCAGTGTTAATTACATTTGGCTCTAATATACATTTTTTTTTTTTTTTTTTTAGCCATCCACAGTTATTTCAGGAAACTCTTCCAGTACTAGTGTTTCCTCTTCAGTAACTAGTGGCCTAACTGGATGGGCAGCTTTTGCAGCTAAAACTTCCTCTGCTGGTCCATCAACAGCCAAGCTGAGTTCAGCGACCCAAAACAACAGCGGGAAGCCTGCTACCTCATCGGCCAGCCAGAAGCCTGTGGGCTTGACCGGCCTGCCAGCCTCATCCAAGAGCGGCATAGGATCCAAACTGGGCTCTAATAGCAGCACTTCTCCCACTGTACCCCTGAAGCCACCCCCTCCTCTAACTTTGGGCAAGACTGGCCTCAGCCGCTCAGTTAGTTGTGACAGTGTCAGCAAAGTAGGTCTCCCTAGCCCGAGCAGTCTGGCTCCCGGGAGCAGCAGCCAGCTGAGTGGGAACGGTGGCAGCATGAGCTCAGGCACGGGAGGAAGTACCGCGAGCAAAGCTGCCTCCGAGCCCAGCAGCACCCCCTCAGCCTCCCTGAAAGGGCCCACCTCGCAGGAGTCCCAGCTCAATGCCATGAAGCGGCTGCAGATGGTCAAGAAGAAAGCCGCCCAGAAGAAACTCAAGAAGTGACGCGGCCGGGTCAATTTTTCTGTTACGTGGCCCTGCAGATTGAAGTCTCATAATTAGGACATAAACGGTAATATATTATAACTTAATAAAAATCTTCATAATGAAATTTCTACGAGTTCTTAAACCTTAAAATGCTAACATTAATAAAATTGGGAATTTTTTAAATTTGTCTGAAATTTTCAACAGCTTAGCAGTGTGAAAATAATCACTAGCGTGACTGATTCTTAAGGAGGGGCTCTGGACCCTCAGGAGACTGGTGTATATTTGAGTTTAAAAAAAGCTTCCACAGGGACCCTAAGTTGTGGAGGCCAGGGTTCTGCTTTGCCTTGTACCGGCTGCAGTCCCACTGCAGCTCCCAGAAGATACTCACTGGCTCAACGAGTGAGTATAAGCCAACAAATAAGCTTTTAAGGCTGTAAGTTCAAATCCCATTTTACTAAAAATTTGGCTAGTATCACTTTTTTGTCTTGAATTTTGTACTTTTAAATTATTTAACCGTAGAACTTAGTAACTTTGAAATAAGAGAGAAAACACTGAAACAGTGGTCCTCAGGGGAGAAGACCTGGCTCCAAGTGCCAGTCCCTCCGGCTCTGCGGGCGTAAGGGCCTCGAGGCATCTACGGCTTAGATGCTTCTCAAGAAGTGCTCACTAGTACTGTTTCTTAGCAACTGCGATCAAGAATTACATCATGGTGGCCTTAGGTCATATAGAAAATACACCATTTCACAAAAATAACTGGCACACTAGTTATGAAAATTATATAAGTAATTTGAGAAAAATCTTAAGTGAAATAAGTTTTATTTAATCCATGAACAGTACATCTTCCTAGATTTTTAGACAAGACAAACTCATTCTATTATGAAAGCATTTGTTTTCCTGAGAAACTGAAGCAAATCTTGCCTGTGTATAGCATATAATCTCATGAAAGCAGCTGGCGTGCAGAGACACCCCTAGAATTCCAGCCTTGGAGTGAGGATTGCTGTAGGGAGTTAAAGACTCTAAAGCCAGAGTTCTTAATGTATATTATTTAGTTTGTGTAGGTTTTTGCCAGAGACAGAAATCTAAGACGTTATGGGGAAGGTGAGTAGCCGTTCATCTCATTTTTCAGTAGTGAAAAACCAGGATGCCCTAAGTCATCTAAACCATCCGTCACGCTGCGACAGCCACGTAAGTGCCGTCCTCACAAGGCCTGGCCACACTTCAGGGAGGTGGGACAGCGCGCTGCCTTGGCGGCTGCCCCCCAGCTTCTGCCTTCCGCACACGCAATGGCATGGATCTGTTTTGCCAGTAATCACTAACACTTTCTGAAGGGCACAGGGTACAAATGGTGGCTCTATGGCCTTTTCACATGACAGGCACTGATGGACATTTCAGATTGCTGGATTTTTCCGATTTTTAAGCTATATGATGTATACTGTTGGTTTAGAGCATTGATAATAAATAAAAAAAAAAGGTAAAATAAATATACATCCAGTATTTTACAAAGAAAACCAGAAAAAATTCCCTTTATTCTTGGTAAAAATACCTATTTCAGAGAATTCTGTATCACAGAATCACATTTAATTTTAAAAATATAAAGGAGTAAGTATGTTAAATTACCTTGCTGTAAGGACAATGTCAGCTTTTCTTTCTGTAAACTTCTTGAGGACTTCCATCTCCCCTCCATGCTGGAATTTTTATTTCCCTTAGACCCAACAAGGTGTCTGTTCAAAACTACTGTCACTTGATTTTAAACAACACACTTAGAAAATGAGGGTATTTACATTAAAAAAAAAAAAAAGTAAGGCCTAAGCGAAATGAGTTTGTCTTTTTCAAAGTACAGTACAGTTTTATTTTGCTATGTGTTCATGCCGGGGCAACAGCTTCAGGGGGCATCCGCAGAGCTTGTGCTCAGAGCCCACTGCAGCGCAGCTAAGTGGTGGGGTGCCTTCTGGGTCAGGTGGGAAGCGGCACTGGGGGCGGGGGGGGGGGGAGGCAGATGTCCTGAGGGCACACAGGTAGGCAGCTCTGGCGCACTGGACTCACTCCAGCCAGAAAGCGGACACATTCCACTTACAGTACTTCATTTGGAGGTTCTATTAAGTCACAAATTCTATGCACACAATGAAAGCAAAATAGGGACTATAAGGCACTTGGACTATTTCATACAGAGCTGCGTTTGTATGGTAACTACGTGCATTAGCTGTTCTCCACTAATTATCACGAATTAGATAAATGTCACAACTAATTTAAATGTGTAGTTTTGCATATGTACATCTATTCACTCTTGCAGTTTCAGTTATGTTCACAGTTTCCATAAGCAGTGAGTTTGGATGTACCTTAGACAAAATGGAATTTTTGTTTTCAAAATACAGTAGAAAGGACCATTGTAAAAAAAATAAAAACTTATATAAAAAAAATCTTGAACTCAAAATAAGAAAATAGGCAAGAATAATTTGCCAGTAGAACCTTATAAAACCATGACTTGATTAACAATTTTAAGAACAGTACCATAAAATGCTAACTTGACGTGAATCTCTTCATGAATTTCTGTGACTGTACATATCACACATATGTTAAAGCCAGCTGCTCTTGATTTTGTTTTATGTATTCCTCTACACTATATGTAACAAAAAAATACAGGTATCAAAGCTTTCAAAGCCACAGTTGGGTCTTACATTTTATGTGGATAAGGAAAGTCCACCTTATTTTGGTTTTTAAAGGAAACCACTAAGTCAAATTAAATTTAATCTTTTCTGTTTCAGAGAAGCATCTTTAGTTCAAAAAAATGTTTGATAAAGTATACCTGAAACCTTCAGGGACAGTTCTCAGCTATGCCAGCACATGTAATGCTCAATGCCTGCCTTGTCTTAGTACAGATCTGCCACCAAAAATATTTATGTCTTGGCTCAGAACACAGAACACACATTCCATTCGTCACCCAAATAACTGAGCCATCCAAAAATACTTCCTCATGAAAGTATCATTAGCTTTGTAAACAAATGGTAAATCAATGAAAGCTGATTCAAACAAATGATCTAAACTAGAAAAAAATCATTAGCAATCACGTAGGATAGTTTTTAACAATTACACCTTCAAAAATGTTTAAGCCAAACAATAAAAATAATAAACTACTTATTTTCTTTTCTGTAGTTAATATGGGTGCTCTTAACAGCCCTTGGTTTTGTTTTTTAAACACGCAGGAGATTTACCATGGGCTCTGTGGGGAATCGCAGAACTGCAAAGCAGGGCTGTGGGAAGGACATGGAGCAGTCTGCAGGTCTTGGCCCTGGATGTTGGACAGCTGCTCACTCCTCCATCAGGGACCAAACAGGAAGAGGGGCCTCGTCAGTGTCAGGCGTTGCATTACTAAGTGCTTTGCCAATAGCACATCCTCCTCCCCTGGGGTTAGCCCAACGTAGTGGTTAGGATTGCGGCCCCCAAACCAGACATGGGCTACAGTCCCGATCCTCCACTTACACGCTGTAACTGGACTACAGTACTTCACCTCTGTGGCCACAGCTTCCTCGAAATGCTGCTGACTGTCAAATCAGTTACGGGTCTAAAGCATTTAGAGCAAGGTCTGGATGTGAACACATTTAGTAATGTTAGGTACGGTGCTTCCCACACAATTCCATTTTTTTTTTTCATTCAAAATTTACATTAAAGAGAGGTTCTGTACCAAAGACTTCTAGTTAGCTGCTAATTTTTAATCTGATTATGTATTTAATGTGCTCCCTGTTTTATGTATATGGGTGTTTATCCAACAGTTTGCATTATCTGTATATACCAGGTAATTTACATGTTGCATGCATGTGCAAGAGAAACAATTTGGAGGCAAAATACATGATATAGCCAAATAAAATAAAGCACAGTCAATGAAAAACTCCACTCCTTTGAGGCACATTCTCACGATTTACCTTCTTGAAGACCTCCCCTGAAATAGTTGGTAGCTGGAGAGTAGGCTGTTGCTTTTGCTGGCTGTGTTTGCTGTGCCTCCTTCCACATGCAAGCTTCATAATACATTTTGAAATGATCTTGGTAGGAAGCGCCTTAAATCCTGACACAGTATCAGCTTGTGTCGTTCGAACGTTTCCCGATTTCTAGGTAACATTTTGTTGCCTTGTCAGTTTTATGAGGTAGTCAATCAGCGGTTTGCCAGAAAATAAAAGTCCAAGGCTGTTTCCTTAGGCATAAGTCATCTTCCCCAGGTAGTTAGCTGGCACATACCCCTTCTGCCCTTGAGCTTCGGCCAGCCACCACTCTTTATTGCCACTTAGGTCGCAAAATCTAAGTATATTCACCCTCTGGTATTCCTGAAGGCTGAGTTCATGGTCACTCCGTGCTTGAAAGGCATGGACTGCATAGAAAATCTAGACACAGAAGCAAAGGACAGTGTTGGCAATAGGACCCAGGAACCCCGACAACATTCTCCAAGCTTCAGAAGGAATGCCAACGTTGATTTATTTTTAAATAAATGGCACTGATGAGAACAGAATGAAATAGTTATTTTTCTGTTGAGAGGAGTCTAAACTCTGCCTGAAAGCAACTTGGCATTGTTTTTAAAGACTTTTTATGCTAATTCTTCCTGATTCAGTAATAGCTTTTAGAATCACTTCCACAAAAAGAAACATCGGCAGAGTGATGTCTGCACAGTTTTGGTTCTGCTGGGACCACTTGTGAAAAGCGCAGGAGTGGGAAGAGAATAGTTTTCTAGACCCCTAATGTGAAGGAAGCCTTTCGCTGTTATAAAGGGTGTTTCTGTGCTGCAAGGACCACTCCTCCTCACTCAAAACAGAACTGGCCCGCTTCTGACTACTCAAAACAGAACTGACCCGCTACTTGAGAAACCAAATGTGTGAGGCAGAGCATACTCTTTTGAAGGGGTCTCGAGCGGCTAATACACTGTTATCACTGCTGTTTAGAAAGTGAAAACACTGAAAAGATCAACAAGAGCAAGTGGAGGATTTGATTTGCAAAAGCTTTTAGGGATATGATGGACTATAATGGCTTCCAGACATCCTGTAAGAGCTGACACTGGCAGTTGCTAAACATCTGTAATTTTAAACAGTATATGTGCTTTACACACCATTGTAACTACAGATGTCTAGCAGGTCGACTATATCACTCCTTGGTGTTTGTGGTGGCCTTTCACTGTGGTGCATGTCCCACCTAGATCTACAGGTATGATATTATATCAGTGTTTTAAACGCCCCGTATGGAGTCTCCTGAAATTGTAAATTCAAGGTGCACTATTATTACCTATGCTGTCAATGCTTTCGACGACTGTGGTCCTATATTAATTTTGAATGAGCATTTTTAAGTTTATCTACGATATACTTATACCTCCACTTAACAGAAGATATTCAAAATGGCTTTAAGTTTGCTTTTAATGATATCATCCTGAAACAGCATTAAACCAGTTAGGAATTTCAACCTGTTCTGAACTTCAGAGCGGGAGGATGTTCTATTTTTTTGAAAATTTCCATTGTTCTCATCTATACCTTTTGAACTTTCAATGTCAGTAAGTTTTGATCCAGACATATTAACATTTTATTAATGTAATCCATAATCTAAAAGTCACTGAATTGTATATGCTAGATGGGTAGATCTTATGGTGTGTAAGTAAGACCATATAAACTGTTTATTAAAAAATAAAAGAACAGGTTATAGGTCAGACAGCCATCAGTGCACTGTTGGTGAAGGAGCTGAGTAGCTGACATATCTTCAAGAGCAGAATGGCTCTCTCAATCGCAGCAACGCATGTCGGCCTTGGCCTCTAGCTAAACTTAGATGGGTGTCCAGAACCAGATGAACAGGGTCTTCCCTGAACTGGCGTAAAGTTTTTGAGTCCCCCAAATATCCTAATGTTGTTAGTGTAATAGTGACATAAATTATGTTCCACAAAGTGAAACGCTATGCAGAGTTTGTTAAGGCAGGAGGTGTTGATAGGTGTGCAGGTGCTGTTCTGTCTGAGATACGTGGAGTGAAAAATGTTCAAATATTTTCACCCGTGTCTATGTAGTGTCTGAAAAGTAAGAGCTTCTGTTACCACTGAAATGACAGAGCTTTATAACCTTAAGTGCGCAACACTACATCTTAATGTTTCTCTGGAGAAGGGCTGGAGGAGAGGAAATACAGAACTTGCAGTTTACCTAGGTTTCCTACTATTTTTAACATTTCACCAGTTAACAGATACCTCTCTGCAAGTAACAAATGTAATTAACAGATTTAAAAAACACTAAAGAAATAAGCAAGTTAAACACAGAAAGCGGTGTGTGCGCGTGCCCACGTGTCTGCGGAAAGCAGACCGGTGGTAAGCGTGACGTGCACACGCCTGCACAGGCCGTGCACTCCGGGGCTGTGCGCCGAGGCCTACAGCATGTACAGGCCAACGCACTTCAATACAAACTGTACATGAGCTGAAAATCCAGTGTTGCCCCGCCCTGGTGGCACAAGGGGTCAGGGGTCAGGACGCAGCCCCGCAAGCTGGCCGCAGCCGTTTCAGGGCGAGTTCAACCCTCGGCCAGGGAGTGACCCACAGGGCACGGCAGACCTCTCCTGACCGCCTGCTGCTCCCCTCAGCAGTGTACTTGTTGATCTGCCTGTTCTGCTCCCCGCTCTGTCTCTGGTGATTCCTCTCACCATCCTGCACCTCTGGCCTGCACCCCAGTTCTGGATGCAGAAATAAATCTTTTAAAAAAAAATCCAGTGTTCAGGTCATTCCTTCCACCCACCATGATAAAGGAACCCATCTGTTGGTCACCCTTGAGGATTAACAATTGAGTAAGTTGAAACTTACCGGGACAGCAAAAGGAAGGCCTCCCCCACCCCCACCCCCACC